CCGCCGACAAGTCCGCACAGTGACGGACAAAATGTCACGTCACAATATATATATATAATCTATCTTTAGAAAGTAAGTAACGCGAAAGGCATGTTAATGGCATATACAGGGTGTCCTGTAACTTTTTGCCGACTGCTATTATATAGTAGATAGAGCGGACTAAACTGAGTCGAAATGTCTTGTCATTTCAGCAATCATCATCATTTTGCAATTTTCACAATAGTTAACAAGATATTAACTATACTAAAAACTGCCGAGAATATTAATTTTCAATAATTTTTTAATCAAGTACTATCAATGTTACAGACAACCAGCAAGTGACAAAATTGTTTATTTTCTTCTCATAGAGCTGTAAGCATTTTTTCAGAATATTTTATCAACTTTTTAGTATTACATTTTTTTATTGGTAAATATTTTTACCAACATGAGAAAATGCGGTATTGAAAAGTTGATAAATTCTGAAAAAATTCTTACAGCTCTATGAGAAGAAAATAAACAATTTTTTCACTTGCTGCTTTTCTGTAAAATTGATAGTACTTGAGTAAAAAATTATTAAAAACTAATATTCTCGGTGGTTTTCAGTATAATTAATATCTTGTTAACTATTATGAAAATTGCAAAATAATACAGAACATTTCGACTCAGTTTAGTCCGCTCTACTGCACAATAGCAGTCGACGCAAAGTTACGGGATACATTTGCAGCTTATTGCGTAATCGAAAATAAGCGCCTACATTGAACCATTATGCTTTATCAAAAGTTAAAAGGGCTCTATCGCATTTCTCTATGCAAAATTAGTTCTCTCTCTAATGTCTTTTCTCTTAAATCTATCAAAATAACACCCTGTATACTGTCACTTGGTTTCATTCCTCAACAGCACTAGTTTTATTTATTTTACATTAGTTACTCGATTTAATACTTAACAGAGGCTGAGAGGAAGGGTAAAGAAAACGCTTTCGCAATCTGCCCTATACACGTGTAATATTTATTTTTGGATATAACCATACGTTTCTTTTAGAGGTACTTTGTTTACGTATTAAATAGACCACTGAAACCGCGTTATATACAGTTGCATTCCAATTTGGTGTGCTGAAGAGCGTCAACTTGTCGAATAGCATATTCTTGAATGTATCCGTTCGATGATCTCCGTATTTCTATGTATTTTTAAGTAGTGACCGCGAGGCTGACTTGAGAGAAACTTTTTAAAGCGACATTCGATCTATAAAGCTTCTTACAGTCCATTTGCAACTTATTGCGTAATCGAAAATAAGCATCTACATTGAGCAATTGTGCTTTACCAAAAGTTAAGCCTGGCTCTATTACATTTGTCTATGCAAAATAACTGTGTATATCTGAAATGAACTTTCTAACGATTCAACCTATGTTGTACACAAACAAATATTGTAATAGCTATCATAGGAAACGATAATGCGGATTACTGTGTGTAAACCATGTATTTCTAGGACTTCCATTGATATTTTGCATAGAATGAGGTATTTCTGGGGAAAAAAAGAAAAAATGTTTAATGTTCCGACATCAGTTCAAAAAATGTAAATTGTATAAGAATAGTACAACTGACTAAAAGAAGGTAAATTGTAATGCAATATGAAAGTGCGTGTATATTAAATATATCAATATATTTTTATATGCTAATGGATGCCAAGAAACATGGTCATTTTGTAATGTAACGTATTATTAAGAGTTATACACGTCTACAGATCAA